CTAGAGCGGAGCCGGAGCAAACGATTATAAAATGTTTTTTAAGACAACTGAAGGATTTTGAGCTGAGAAATAGTGTATGATCTGAAAGTAGGTAAAAATCGCGACAAAATTCGACATTTTTGAAAGTTGTAGGTGTCCTGTCAGCCGAACACGAGCGGTTTGTGATTACATTGGCTCTATGAGAAAAATCTTCTCTCGGCCCATGGGATTTTTTCCGCTGTAGAACCAGTGAGTGTCACTATGTCAACACGAGGCAGCTACAAACTAGCAATACTGTATCCAGTTATTTTAATAGATGGACTGAATGGACTGGCCCCTGTAAATAGGGACGTCTGGTCACCCAATATATGCCATAATATTTATCTATGTCTATCTAACTTTTCTCATATACTGCCTTCCACCTGATTGTCTTCACGTAAATGTTGCTGATACTTTTGAGCTGATGTCATCATCGTTCTCTGGGGATGTGGTGCTGTGGGCTTACTGAAGTTTTGTTAGACTTGAATCTGAGCTTTATTTGAACACAATCTGACCAGAAAGAGTTAGTTTAGTTGGAACTACAACAGGTGAGATGATTTGTCCTTGTTAAAGTTCCTCTCAGATAACATTGCAGTCACAAGCTATCTGACATTAGTCCACAGTTTTTCAGTTAGTCACTCTCACCTTTTTGTTGAAAATCAAGCTCCCAAACAAGAAAATGAACACTTGAATTTTCCGACGATGTGTGCATTGTGTCACCATGGTAACTGCTGAACATTAGAGATAGAAATACATTGAGTACACCCTCAGCATGATGTCACCCCAAAGTATCAATCACTTTCCTGAGAGTCTTTGCTGGCAGCTCTAAAACATTACCTATCTCCATGGAAACAAGCAGCAGGTCACACCACCAATTACAGGTCAGATCTGTGGCGAGTATGCTCATAGTAGAATGCACGTTTGCCACGCCTTGAAACATCTGTAACTGAATAAATGCAGCATAGATTAGTTTAAAGAAATACTGTGGAAAATTCCGAATATCTTTTTGTGTCACCTTATTCATTTAATGTCTCTTTACTTTGGATAAATAAGTGTTTTGTTTAGGGATGTGTCTTTTTTCTGCCAGTACTTCTCTCTTTGTAAAGCAATAACAACTTAAAAACGCATTATGTTCACTCTCAGATAAAATGTTTGTTTTAGAGGCATTAGGGCCCCAGAGCTTTTCTCTTCTTCCTCCTCTTCATCCCTCCATCTCAGAACATTACAATACATCCTGTCTCTGCCTCCTTTGGTCTTTTTGTTTGTAACAGAGGCTTAAAGTGCATGTGACAGGTTCTCATGTTTTTTTAATTCTGTCTTGGTTTGGTGGGATAGTGCTTGAAGTCAATATTTATTATAGTTTTTCCAAAAGTACGAAACAACTTACGCACAAGGAAGGCATTTTTATGACACTTTAAACATGGATTTAATTAAATACAGGTCTTGTTGTCTATTTTTATTAGTCTAATCATCGTCTTATTAAGGTATTGGTGGCTTGGTAACAGTTGAAATGACCTATTTATGTTTTATCTTACCATGTCCAATTTATAAATCAAGAAAATTATAAACTATAAAGCAGGTGGCAGTAACAGGTGGACTGAGGTCTGAGTCTAGACCCAGACGCCATCCCATATAGATCCGGACTTACAGTTAACAAATTATTAAATTACTTTTCATTTTGACAGGGCGATTCACTTTTCTCTAAACTTTAAGGCCGCCACACACACTACAGGAGATTTTGCCAGATTTCAGCTGTGATTTGCTTCTTCCTGAGTTTGAGGAGGCGTGACTCGACTTTGTGTCTTTGTGTGAGACTGTGAAGCCGCTGCACTCGTCGTGTGTGTGGTGTCAGTGTGACTCTGAGCTGCTCTGTCAGATCATAACCACCAAACAACAGCAACACTACGACAACAGACAATAAAACAGAACGTCAGGGGCAGAGGAGTGACGGACAAAGGCGAAACATACAAACTCAGGAAATAGTGAAAATAACAAGAAGACTTTATTCCTCACCTCTCGTAAAGTGGTTCATTTGAAGTGCAGTGTCTCATCCGCTTTATCCATAGAAATTGTCCTCCTCAAATAATGACATCCAGTCCACAAAACTGCGCTGTTAATTCAGTTTGAGGTGTTCTTTAAAAGTAAAAAGACGAGAGTAGTTCCTAACATGTGTCTGTTAGGGTGGGGTGATAATACAGTGTTACAGTATCCCACGGTATCAAAAAGTAGCGACAATATCAGTTTTGTTACCGTCATTAAAAAAATCTGCAGCGCATAAGGACCTAATATAATATTATAATTTGTTTGCTCAGCACAAATTAATGTGTGGTTGTATTTTCAATTTAATACTATCACGATTTAAAGCTAATAGTGTCTATAATGTTTCATGGGGAGATGGCGATTAGTTCGATTAGTTCCGTCCGACCGCGAGTGAGTTGGTCCCCCCCAAAAATACTAGTACTTCTTTAATTTGGCAGCATTTTGGCTTCAGGCGCACATTTCTTTACGTTTTACAGAAACGAAACTTAAAACCGTGTGGCTAATTTGCATGAACTGTTAGCGCTGATAAAAACAGCTCACTCCTTTTCTGCTGATGCGGTTCAGCTTTTGTCAGACTAAAGGACACAACTCAGTGGAATATATGTTTTTTCTGCGACAGAGGATGTTGCAGCTGATGGTGAGTCTGTTCTGTGTGTGTGTCGCATTGGAGACTGTTCATGTTTAACTTTTCAGAGATTATAATTCTGCAGGTCGTACGCATAGACCGTACAGTGGTGCGGCTTCACTTACCAAAGTCGTACTAAAACATTTTGGTAATACTGTAATACCGTATACCCCGTTAAAATCCTGAGACGGTTTAACGGTACCAAAATTTGGATACCACCCAATCCTAGTGTCTGTTTACATCCACACAGCGCACGGATCAAGGTGAAGCTCCAGATTAGTGATAGTGACTCTACTTCCTATGGACTTTATTTCCAATCTTTTATGCCTTAAAAATCCTGTATCTGAAGTTTTGCTCCACATTTCACAAATAATAATAACACAGTTTTGACTTGTATCTAAACTAGAAGTGCAGAGCTCTGATCTTTTGAACACAGAGTCTCAGAGTGACTGGTTTTACTGTAGACAGGAAACAGCTGACACGATCACACTCACAACTTTATATCCTGTGGTCTGCAGACAGATCCCACTGCAGTCTTTATGATCGGAGATTTTAAGTCTCATAAGATTCTCCTCTTGTCTGTGGTGTGTGCTTTTTACCGTACATTTAAAAATGGTTTAAAAAAGGATTAAGAGGGTTCCATGATTTACAAAAAATGCTTTAATCTAAGTGGTACTTCGTTCTTCTTTTACCTTCAGCTGCGCAGCAATGCGGTCCCATGGTGTTCCTTGGGGATGCATGCTAAAAAATCACCCTCTTCATTCTATTTTGAAGAAAGCAGAAAGCTCTGGTACGATTTCTGAATTATAAAAACTAATTGTTAAGTTCACACAAAAAATTCTACCTGTCGAGCAGCTTTGGAAAATTGAATTGAGGGATCACTCGGAGTGGGATTGGAACCAGATTTGGTCCATCATTTTGCTTTCATCATGGAATCCCAATCACCAGATGATTCATTACAAAATTATTCATAGAGCTTATTTATACCCTAGAATATTACACCAAATGAAAATAAAAGACAATCCATACTGCGGTATTTGCATAGAACAAACTGTGGGCAGTTTTGTACATATGATATGGGAGTGCCCTGAGATGGCACAATTTTGGGAAAACGTGACAAAGGTGATGTCTAAATTAATAGGAATAACCATACCTTGCACTCAGAGGTTTCTTTTGCTAAATGACACGTCCAAACTAAATCTGACAATTAATGATTGTCACATATTACTAGCAGGTCTTACAGCTGCCAAAAAAAATTTTAATATTCCAGTGGAAATCAGTGAGAGAATGGCTACTATCTTTCAGGGAAATCGTTCAACTGGAGCTTTCTGCTGCTCGAATGCACGGAGCAAAAACCTAAAACATTTCTTGTTGGTCCAATCTGTTGATCAAACTGAGATCTGAATCTTTTGTACAGTTGTTACCTGAAGATTCATTATAATAGATGTTCTTAGAATGTACACAACATGTATACTCTCAGTCAACTTTCTATGTATGGTACATATAACACAATTTCTGCTGATGTCTTTTGACGGAGGAAATTTGCCTTTTGTGTGTGTGTGTGTGAATGTGTATATACATGTATATGTATATATAAACATATATACTATAATATGTGTATATGGGTATGTGTGTTTGTGTAGGTGCTGTATATATGTATGATACATGTATATGTGTGTATTCTGTAAATGTATTTGTGTGTGTACATGTTTTGTGTTGATGCCCATCTATAGGGAGTTTAAGGGTGGGGGGTGGGGGGTTTAAAAGGGAGAAAAATGCAATTCTAACTGGATTATGTATAACTGCAAATAATAACACTTGAATAAAAATCTGATGACAAAAAAAACATGGTTTAAGACCAAAAAATCCCATAGTATGTGGGGGCCTTTACAGCACTATATTAATGGACCAAGGAACATACCAAACCAATCGTGTGCGAGTTAAACCACCCACGTGACGCTGATTTCCTTGATTTGTCTATTTGTTGATTTGTTCATACATTCAGACATTGATAGAACTAGGCTACTTCTGTATCACAATCATAACGCGAGTTGTTGTTGCAAGTTATGTTGTCTTCCTCACATTTTAGTTGAATACTCCTGCTATAAAGCTGGGCAAGATTTGTAGTCAAATGTTAAAGGCGCTGTACTTTTAGATGTGAAAAACAGAACTAGTTCATTTGCATCTGGTATTAGGGCTTTAAATGTAATGATGTGAACTGTTTTAGTGAAATGAGTATGCACTTCAAACTGACTCTTCTCTCCATAAGCTCTGGCTGCAGCTCTGTGCTGTGCTAACATGTGTGTTGTGTCTCCAGCCTGCAGACAGACACAACCTCCTGCGTCCGGAGACTGTGGAGAGCCTCTTCTACCTGTTCAGATTCACCAAGGAGACCAAGTACAGAGACTGGGGCTGGGACATCCTGCAGAACTTCAACAAGTACACACGGGTATGTACACACTACTCGCTTAGCTCCTGCGAGGGAAGATACGGGTTTAGAGATTTTACACTGGACAGAGCTAGTGTTTTTTTTTTTTTGTCCACTGATCCAAAGGTTACTGGTTTGAATCCTGTTTTTGACAAAGAACTTCATTGTTAGAGTGGTCAGAGCCACTGATGCTGTAGTTGTGTCATATGGCAAAACACTTAACCCACCTCATCCTCAGTGTGTGTGCGCACTGGTGTATGAGTGTGTGTGTGTGAGGGGGTGAGTGGTTCCTTGATGTAAAGCGCTTTGAGCCTTGCAGGTGGAAAAGCGCTGTATAAAAATGTGACTATTGATCATTTTAAAGAGCCAATAAACCCCCTCCCAAAGCTTTACTCTGGCCCTAAGCAAAATCTGAAAAATCATCCAGACTGAGGCATTGACCAGCATGTTGCGGGGAGCGGGTGTGGGACGGTGCCTGGCGGGTCGGGGGGAGCGGGTGTGGGACGGTGCCTGGCGGGTTGGGGGAGCGGGTGTGGGACGGTGCCTGGCGGGTGCGGGGAGCGGGTGTGGGACGGTGCTGGCGGGTGGGGGGAGCGGGTGTGGGACGGTGCCTGGCGGGTTGGGGGGAGCGGGTGTGGGACGGTGCCTGGCGGGTGGCGGGGAGCGGGTGTGGGACGGTGCCTGGCGGGTGGCGGGGGAGCGGGTGTGGGACGGTGCCTGGCGGGTGGCGGGAGCGGGTGTGGGACGGTGCCTGGCGGTGGGAGCGGTGGGACGGGTGAGCGGGTGGCGGGTTGGGGGGAGCGGGTGTGGGACGGTGCCTGGACGGGTGGCGGGGAGCGGGTGTGGGACGGTGCCTGGCGGGTGGCGGGGAGCGGGTGTGGGACGGTGCCTGGCGGGTTGGGGGGAGCGGGTGTGGGGCTCTGGAGCGATGATTGACAGCCGACCGACAACCACAAAAATCCAACATGACATGGACCAGTGAGCTCCGGACTTTGAAACAGAGCGGACATTTGTGCTCGGATCACGCCGTTTCCCTTTTCTCCAGACACGGCGGGACATGGCAGTGCCCGGTGGTGCCAGGTTGGGGCGGGGCTGAAAGGGGCTCCTCACATCCCACCACGTAATAACCTGCATCTGACTCACCGACTATGTTAGTCTAACCCGAAAATTCAAATGTCCTGAACGTTGTTGATCCTAAAGAGACCGATACAGACACAACTTTGACCCAAAAGTCACATTTTTAACAAATATGCACTAAAATGCCAAAATAAGACCGGGGATAGAGACACACTTCTATTTTAGATCCATTTACTGAGATCATCAGTAGAGAAAAATTATGTTGGTGTTTATTGGTCCTTTAATATGTAGACAGAAAGTTTAACTAAAGTTATTAATATCTTTGCAACTTGAAATATAATCATTTAAATAAGAATTGTTTTTGTCTCTGTCTGTATAAATCAGTGGGGGACTGATTCAATCAGATCTTTTTTTCTTATTTTAAGCAAAATTGTCTACCAACGGAGTGAAGAAAATTGCACTTCCATCTGTCAGAAATAACATTTTCAAACCAGAAGAAATCTGTATTTTTCATGCAGTATATTCTGCAATGTTTGTGTGTTGGGCAAAACACAACTAGTGTGGCTGCAAGATTAAATTTGAACCCAAATTGCAATTTAAATGGAGCAAATTGCAAAGGCTGCAAAAAGTACCACAATTTCCTTCTTATATATTCTGTCTTATTCTTCATAAAAGCGGCTCACTCTGTAGTTTAGATCTGCACAAACATGCTCTGAAATGTAATTCTTGGATTTGTTTGTCAGTATTTGAGTTTTTTGGTTTCTGGACATATTTAAAATGTGAAATTTGAAGAGAATTCTATTATTAAAACATATTGCAATGTTTCACAGTGACTACAGCTCTATCAACATTGCTCAGTCTAACCCAGGTCTGTTCTTGTGTCAGGTTCCCAGCGGAGGCTACACGTCCATCAACAACGTGCGCGACCCCGTCAACCCGGCTCCCAGGGACAAGATGGAGAGCTTCTTTTTGGGAGAAACACTCAAGTACCTGTTCCTTCTCTTCTCCGATGACATGGACCTGCTCAATCTGGACAAGGTGGTCTTCAACACGGAGGCCCACCCCCTGCCCGTCTGGAACCCTCCCCCCAAATAACACAGACGCCCTCCCACACTTCTAACTCTGCCCCTGCAGCCAAGTGTTTGCATCAGAAAAGCCTGGGTGCAATCAAGGGAATTCTGTGTGATGTCACGTAGCACTTGGAATTGCAGTGGCCACAGGAGGCAGCACAGACTTTTGGGGCAGGTTTTTGACTCTTTTTGAACACAAAGCTGCAAATTAACTTTTAAGTTTGCACTAAAGTTTGCCAAAAAAGAAGTGGGAACAGTAGATAAGATTATTCAAAGACCACATACAGAGTTTAGTAGCAAAAGAAACATGATTTACAGTAGAAGTATTTATCTGAGAGGAGATGGAGGAGTCTTTGAAAGCTAAGGACGAACTTTGGGTGTTTTGTTCACTACAATTCAGAATCTTAATCTTGATTTGACAAGTTTTGACTGGTTTAAAATGATAGAGTAGGTCTATGTTTTTGGAATTTCTCACTGGTTTTAATAATATTGATCAAATTTCAAGGTGCTGTACCTGATTTAAACAGAGAAAGAGTAAGATTTGTTTCATACTATGTTCAAATCACAGTTAATAACATGCAGTGAAATACCAACGGGATCCTCTTTCTGCCTTTAGCTGGAACGTTTTTTTTATTTTAAATGTGAAAACCAGAACTAGTTCATTTGAAACCGTTTGCAGTGGTCCAAAGTTATTCTTCACTTACCTTATGCATTCTGAGCATCCTCATTATTCACCGGGATGAGTGCAGTAAATACATGGAAAAATTGGGTTCTGTCTAGGGATGGGCATGATTAGTCGATTAATCGATAATTGATCATTAAGAATTTTGTCGATTCCGTTCATTTTTAATCGACAAACCGAATGGAGGTTGCTGTGTAGGGTGTGTAGGGTGACCAAACGTCCATTTTTCCCCAGACATGTCTGTTTTTTGTGTCTTGTCCTGGCCGTCTGGGTTTATTTTTTATAAAGTGATGCAAATGTTCAGGTTTTCATTACCTTTCGCTGGGCCATTAAACTGATGTCTCTTGTAGTTCTCTCTGCGCTCAGAAGGAGCGAGACACAAACAGTCGGTCAGCCTGCAACGTGCCGAAGAACAAATGCGCATTTAACGATGACTTGTACCAGAAATTACCCGCTCTCCATCCCGGTCAAGACAAGTGTGAGTCATGTGCACAGTGTACAAAGCAGCACATATGTTTCGTGTCCAGTGGCGGTGTCAAGAGACCTCAAAGTACCAGGACACCGAAAAACATGAAAAAGTTTTGCCAGGTGAGAGTCGCTCAATGTCGATGACGAGGCCCCACCTCCCTCCCCCCGTACGGAGTCCTGGTTTTGACAAACGCAAATCTGGTCACACTAACCTGTATTCCACTGAGTCATGTCCTTTAATCCAACAGAATTTGAATCACATCAGCGACACAAGAGCTGTTTTTTTTCTTCGCTTAGTTTATGCAAATGAGCCATGAAGTTTTAAGTTTTGTTTCTGTGAGACTTGCACACAGCTGAATTAAACACATTCTAATGTCTAACGGGCTGATGTGGCTCTAGAGTGGTTATGGTTTATATGTCGTAAAGTTGAATTTATTTATGTAGATTAGTGGTGCAGATAGTCATAATAATGATGATCATTTTAATATAAAAACATTAATGATTAATCGATTATCGATCGTTAATTCTCCAGATGAAGAAAATTTTATCGAATGCCCATCCCTAATCCAAAGTTATTCTTCACTTACCTTATGCATTCTGAGCATCCTCATTATTCACCAGGACGAGTATTGGAGCAAGACAAATATTGCTGAAATACATGGAAAAATTGGGTTCTGTCTGCTTATAAACTCATCACTCTGAATAATTAAGATGCTCAGAATACATAAGGTAAGTGACAAATAACTCTGGACCTCTAAATGAACTAGTTCAGCTTTTTTTTTTGGTTGTTTTTTTTACATTTTTAAGACCGTATAAATCAGCTACAGCACCTAAAATAAATACAAATACTAAAATGAGGGTGAAATTCTGAATGAAAGTCTGCACAAAGAGAAGTTAACCCGCTCATCTGCACTAGCACTACTGACCCCCGTGAGGCAGCGCACTCCGGGATCTGTCCATCACGGGATTTGGTTCTCCAATCCCTCAGTTCTTCGTGAAGAATGTTCTAGAGCTGGTCTCTGGACTAAAGGACTCTGACTGTTTCAGCGCTGAAAGCAAATGAAGAAAATATATGAGTCATCCATATTTATTATTATTTTATTATTATTTGTTGGTGCAGGGTTTGAGATTTTGTGTACTTTACTGTCACTGGTCTGCTGATGTTAAAAAGCATCCAAGTGCTTTGTCTTTATTACTTTATTTAAAGGAGACATGTAGTGCAAAATGAGCTTTTCAGAGCTTTGAACCATGTTATAGTTCTTTCCCCTTCTCACTGATCCTCTGAAGTTGTATTTGGAGTAATTCCTGCATGTTTGAGTCGTCCTTATTCTCCTGGGTTCAAGACGTCACTCCAGTCTACGCTGTTTTCACCTCCACCAGTACACACCAAAGTGATGTACGGACTTCCTTCTCTACTTATATTTTCTTAATCTATGACACATGTAGGATTAGGCAGAATCACTTAGGCCACTTTCAGACTTAATGCTCAATTCAGATTTTTGTGAAATCCGATTTTTTTGCGAGGTCATTCACATTTCCAATTAAATGTGACTTGTATGTGATCTCCAGTGTGAACTTTAAACGCCTCAAAAGACACAACATTGTCACACACAGCGAGCGTGCTCAGGGTTTACAGAAGTATCCTAAACTCTGGGATTGTCTCCCAAAATATGGTTGTTGGTAAAATGGACAGGTTACACTTCCACAGCCGCTTCGTTTGTTTGACTCTTTAGCCTCCTTGTATTTGGCTCACAGACATTTTATTTTTTGTTGGCATTGGAGTCAGGACTGCCTGTAGCTGCGCTCAGACATTTCTTTGGTAATCCCTAACCCTAACCCAAAAAACGCCCGGTTCCGATAAGACCCCTCTAATTTGGCCTGAATACAGCGATTCCCCCAAATATTAATAAACTCACTAACCTCGCTTTTCCTTCATTGACGAGACTCTGAGCCTGACGTGTAGGTGGGATGAATGTGACCTGACCATTCAGACTGAAGTCACATGATAAAAGATTTGTTTAGGAGCACATGTCCGAGTGGCCTCGGTCGCATTTGAAGAAAATCGGATCTGTGTCATTCAGACTGCAGCCTGAAGTGACCCAAATCCAATTTTTGGCCTCTATGTTCCTGTATCTGATCTTTTAATGTCAGTCTGAACGACACAGATCCGATTTTTTCAAATGTGACCCAGGACACTTGGATATGTGCTCCTGAAATTGATACATATCTGATCTTTTGACATGTGACTTCAGTCTGAACGGCCAAAGTGCATTCATCCACCTACACGTCAATCAACAAGCCACAAATGTCACTATTCTGCACTGAAGTAGGTGAAAATTGTTAATGAACTCCATGTCACTGAAGTGAAGCACATCTCCACTCACCACTCTTGGCTCCGTCTCCACATCCACACGTTCCTTTCAACAGACGTCGCTGCCGCTGCCCCACAAAACACCACGACCAAAAACCTCGTCCTTCTCCTTCTCAATCTCCTCCTTAAAACAAGTAAGTTGTTCATGTTCTGGCTCCGGTACGAGAGGAACTTTAAAATCTCCAGATGCTCAATGCTGCGTCCATGTTTAAACACAGAGACGCTCGCTGTGGTTGACGTCGTCGTGTCTCCAGTGCACATGCGGGACACTTTTGGGTCGTTTAATGTTCACACTGGAGATCACATACAAGTCACATTTAATTGGAAATGTGAACGACCTTTCAAAAACATCGGATTTCACAAAAAATCCAAATTGAGTGTTAAGCCCTGCAGTCTGAATGTAGCCTTAGTCATTTTGACACAAATGAAAAACAAAAATCCAGTGCAGATGTCAGCGGACTTGTTTCATTTTAGATCCATTGTGATTTAAATTGTCCAAATTCTAACATGATCCACGGATGTCATAGATTATAATTATAGCGCAGACACAAACACTATACATCTGCTTTAATTCTGCTATTCACATGCTACTTGAGTCTAAAACCTGGGTCTATGTAGAAAATCAGCACTCATACCTCATACCCAAGGTCTCTGGTTGGAATTCTCAAAGCTTCAAACTATTTCTTGATACAGATTAATTCTCCAAATCAATACTGGGAGAACTTGAGTCCCAGTGTGAGGTATTGATGTGTGGCTCGCTCCTCCTTCATCCAGGGTTTTGAAGAATCTGCTCTTATTGTGAAAGCAGGACTCACTCTCCTAAGCCTCTGGTGGACGTCCATAGTCAATACGGGAGGAACTACTTTCTTGTCTGTGAAAAAAAATCGAAACTGAACTTCCAATGAGCTTCCACCAGTGACTGCTCTCCTTGTCATAAAGATTCATGATTTTGTTTTATTGTCCCGTTCCTTCTGTGCAAATCGACACTTGTTTAAATGTTACTGATTTGTGAAAAACACTGTGCTTTTTCTGTTAAATGTGCCATATTTCTTCTTTTTTTTTCTTGTAGCTAAATCAGAAATAGTTATTCTTTCGTTATGTCTTCATCTAATCACTAATGTTGAAATTGAAACTAGGGCTGCAAAGTTCAAATGGAATATTCAATAACCATGTTGAATATTGCAATCCTTTTGACAGTATTACAACATTTTGAGTTCAATTTGAAATAAAATAATTCTTTAATTTAATAGTCCAACCATGTAAAAAAAAAAAAAACAACTAATCAGCACCAAAAAAAATGCCTTGCAAGTCTAGACTTAAAATCTCTGTGTATTTTTTCGACAGTGGGATATCGGTCTGGTCACCGCTTCCTCCATCACGTCTCGAGCCAGAACCAAACACAGCCATCCAATCAGATTTGCTTATTTCAGTGACGCATGTGAAACAAAGGAGCTCATTGGCCACACAAAATCACATTTCTCTCACCTCACATGAACAGAGTTTAGTGCTTTGCTCACTGATTCTGCAAAAATCATATGTTGAAAATTATGTTTTTTTTTCTCATGAGCAGCTGTATTTGTTTTGACTGACAGACCATGAATGTCGGGGACATTTACCGGTGACCAGACTCAAATCTGTAGAAACTATTGGAGAAGTGTAGCCAGATTGGCGCCACCTAGTGCCTCGGCTCAACTTCATTTCTCTCCAGCGACTAGGTCAGGAATCAGAATACACCAGACCAGGAGAATCAAACTCAAATACACAGAGACCAAAATTAAAAACTGGGACTAAGTCCTGGCCCAAACTAAATATTTATTGAAAAATTTCAACAGCATCTGTAATGTTAAACCTTTTGTTATTAAAATAAATGTTTAATAATAGTTTTGCTTAAACACTGAATCCAGAACAAGCAGAATATAAAATAATAACAAAAGTTTAAATAATGTCTCTATAGTCTATCTGTATCTGTAGCCGGTGGGCAGCTCTAATACACATTTGATTTGATCTCTCAGGTCAAGTATAAATATTTCATGGGCCAAATTTGGTCCCCAGGCCTGAGTTTGACATGTCTGCACTAGACGATTTACAAGAACACCAGAAGATGTAGACCGTGCACTGGCCAGTCGGCTGTGAGCTGTGAAGCCATGATGTTAAAGTTGTCACGTCTGTCTGGGTCCCTTTTGTGGTTCAGCACAATGGTAAACAAAGCGTCGTGATGGATGTAGATGATACAAACTTCTCATTTTTTATTGCACCTTTAATTCGCAAGTTCACCTCACAGAAACAGCAGACAGACATGTTCACTCTCTGCTGTGTTTACTATTGTGCTGGTGATTACTTGGACACCGCTGAGTGTTCCGGCGCATTACATACGTCATTACCAAATAGCAGTGATTGGTTAAATTAAAAAAGTCCCCGCCTACCATCGTGCAAACGAATCCTAATGCGAGGTCAGGCATGAAGTGAAACCGGCTGATGAATCAGACTAGGTTCTAGGTGTGTGTTCTGGATCCAAGGCACCCAAACAGACAAATCAAACAGACCTATCAGGACTAAGAAACAGAGCTGTGTTAAATTCACAATATGTCACAATACATCAGGACGAAGTCAAAATCTGTCACATACAAGAGGTGCTACAGTATATCTGGTTCTGTGTGATATGGATGGAGCATTAACAGATTCATGTACAGGTCTTTGTTCTATTGTGCAACCCTGTGTCCCTGTGTTTTCTTTTGTTTTCTTTTGGTGGCCTCAGCAGACTAAACATGCAGCTGTATGGAACATGAGACACACTGGACAATTTTATCATCACTAACACTGAGATGATCATATGAAGAAGAGATGATGAAGATGATATGAGATGATATGAGATGTGTCTTACTTGAACAGAGAGTGTCCATGAGTTAATGAGGTGAGCGTGTGGAGGTTTGAGAATAAACGGCTCTTCTGAGGAGTCACACTTTTAAACATTTGGTCAAGTGTCATTTATTTTAACATTCATTTCTTGTACGGTATTTTATATCATTTAAAGAGGCACTGTGTAACTTTTACTGTGAGAAACCACCAACTGCTTGAGATGTTACTGCTTCATCTTTATTACTCCCTGATTACACTTCTATGGGTAACACATAACATTTTACGTTTATTGTTTTGAAAATGCTATATTCACAGAAAATGAAGTATTAACATGTTTTATTAGTTTCATTTTTCTTTTTGATGCACTGAGTCCTCCTACCCTCACAATCAGTGTTTATCTCCCTAATGTATCTCCTGCACATCACATCAGGTTTGTAAAGATGAGAGGAAATTGGAGACCACTGGAGGCAGGTCTAATTTTTATTAAAAATAAATAAATTAATAATAAAAATTGAACACAAAGCAGCAAATGTACTAAAACTGTCCAAAAGGACCAGGAACAGTAGACAGTGGTATTAAAAGACCATGCACACATTTTAGTAGAAAACATGTTGCTTTAGTTCCGTTTGCAGTTCCAGATCCTGTGCAGAAAACAAGCTGTTTCATCTGCTTGTGTGTACAACACACAGACAGAGGGGGCGCTAGGACTCAGTGTCAGTGATGAACGGTTCCATTGGCTTTAGCAGCAGCCTGAAACGAGTGGGAGCTGACTCAGTCTGATGAAGATGGATTTTGGTCTTTCTTAAAGGGAACAGCGACTGTATTTTTGCCTCATTTAAGCTGCTTCAGTGCTGTCTGTGCTGAGCTGGGAATAATAAAGTTTGTGTGCCTATAGCCTGTGTGTACATGACCAGACAACAGTGCACACACACTTTTTTATCCTGTTTCTTCTTTATTTTTATGATTATTTACACTGTAGAGTCTCACTGAAGACATCACACATGTGGACAAAATATCTCCAAACTTGTTTTAGATTTTTAAAACAGCCTTAACCCTTTTACTTTGAACCCTGCTTTGTAATTTCAGGATTCTTGACCCTGACATGGCACAACTGTGACGTGAAAACCATTTCAGGAGACTTCATCATGAAACTCTCTGAGAGAAGGTCAAGGGTCAAGGCTGTCAACAAAGCAGAGTGTATACTTTAAGGATTTGAATATTTTATATATTTTTAATATTTATATATATATTTGAATATTTTCCTTTTTGAATAAGAAGCTGTGTCCACACTTGGTGTGGTGGTAGTGTGGATTTACAGGCGTCTGTGTGTTATGGTGATGTCCTGTGTTAGAGTCATGTCCTGTCTTTTGTCTTTTGTCTTTTGTCTTTTGTCCAGTTAACATAATTACAATTTCTTTTGAAATGCTCAAACAAAGAGAAGCCCAAATGAATCCCAGTGATGAGTGTGTAAACACTGACTTGTTCCTGCTCTACACACTGTATCTGTGCTCTGAGTCTGGTGTTGTTGGTGCCTGCACACGTGTGTCTCGTTCTCAGGAGATACACACACTTAATGTGCATCTATCTATGACGCAGATTACTATGAAGTATTCCAGGCAAAACAATAACACTCCCCCAGGTGGTGTTCCCTTCACAAAAAAAGATCAAATTAATATTATAATATTATGTTGGAGACATGGACAGTGTAGTTTTGGATTCAAGTTTTTTGTTTGACTGAGTTTGGAGAGTAGAGAGAGGCACATTGTTTTAAAAGTGACTTTTGACTTTCATATATCATTTATTATTTCATATGCTGCAAAACTGAAGGCAAGGCAAGTTTATTTGTACAGCACAATTCGTACACAAAGTAATTCAAAGTGCTTTACAGAATAAGAAATACATTAAAATCATAATAAAAACAAATCAAAACATAAATAATCATGAAGATTAAAATTAAAAAAGAGAGACATAAATTGGAGAGAAGAGTGCGGAACTGAACAACAACTACTGAACTGAAGTCACATCAACTTAAACACTCTTTGGATCAGAGCGTTCACATAGAGTTTATGCAGGAAGTGCTCTGCTCTGGTGCCCTCTACACACACACACACACACACACACACACACACACACACACACACACACACACACACACACACACACACACACACACACACAGCTCTATGCTGATACTAACGCTGCTGTAACCCTTCTGGAGGATGGCGTCAGTCCGAGCTCCTCTTCATCATCACCTCACATCGTTTGACATTTCACATTCTCTTTCTTCTCTAAATGGTGAAAGGGCCGGGCTGCCCACCTGAGCCCCGTCCTGAGTGTCCACCCAGCCACCACATCCACCCACATCCACCCACATCCATCCACATCCATCCACATCCATCCACATCCATCCACATCCATCCACATCACCAAGAAATGTCTTTATTCTGTACTGTTGTTGTGTGGTTCTTGTAGTGAATAAGACATTATGTGTATCTTGCAATGTTTCCATTAAAGGTGTTTTTATTGATTTAAAAATGGGAACAGACGGCATTAATACAGTGAGCCGGTCTCCTTTACACAGAGCTGACATTTAACTTGGCCTGGTATTGTCGTTTCCATGGAAATTGGCAAAATGAACGCAGGTGACATGCGGTGAGAAAACAGGGGACAGGTCCTTCACCAGAAACGTGATCTTTAAAGGAAATGTGTGTCAGATTTTTAAACATGGCCTTAACTGTGCCTCCAGATACAAAGTAAGTGTGTTCAAATCAAATAATAATTGTGATGCTAATTAAATACAAAAACACTGGACTTTAGAGTGCATCATCTGTCAGAAATTCAACTTGTACCCAATTTTAAAATGTGACAATACCAAATAAAAGGAAATCTGTGGAATATTTGCTCAGTTGGATAAAATCTACTGGGTTCACCAAGTCTCTTAAGTTCCATCCTAACAGTGTCCATAAGAGAAATCAGTTTTTCTCAAATAAAAGTTGAATATAAATGCTGCTATTGTGCATCTTTTGGTAATTGTATATCTCTGTCTTCATAACTTTCTAAGATATGGCAATTTTATCAAGATTTTGAGTGTTATTTTTTTTCATAATTATAGGTCAAAAATGAAATGAGAGACTTAAAGTTTGTTCTTTTTCTGTATGAAGAATCCCTCAGTCGTCCAGGTAGAATCCATGGCGAGGAGAAAATTCAGTTTGTCGACCGGACAAAAGTTAGTTTGGTTGAAGAAGTTTCGCAGCTCATCCAAGCTGCTTCTTCAGTTCTGGTCAGACACTGGTGACACTTCCTTATATCTGCAGGGAGGAACTAACTACTCTGAAACTAACACACACACACACACACACACACATTGTGGCGGCACGGTGGCTGAGTGGCTGGCACTCATGCCTCACAGCAAGAAGGTTCCAGGTTCAATCTCCGGGTCGCCCGGGCCTTTCTGTGTGGAGTTTGCATGTTTCTCCCTGTGTCTGGATGGGTTTCCTCTGGGTGCTCTGGTTTCCCCCATCAACCCAAAACATGCTCCAGGTCTCCAGAACAGTTGATAGTCAAGGTCAATTAAATACAATCAATTCAATCATTGTGTGTGAAATGACACAGACAATAAGACTCAAAAGTGCAAAGTTCAGTTCATAAGCAGTTATCGAAAATGTTATGATCCATTTGAGTTATCGAAATGTTCAGTTTGAGCTATTGTACCGTATTTTCTGGGCTATTAGTCGCTCTGGATTATAAGACTCACTGTCATTAAATGGTCCATTTTCAAACTTTTTTCACAAATAAATCGCACTGGACTTTAAAGGAAACCCAACAGTGTGATGGGTGAGTGGTTTTGTTTGTTTGTGGTGTTCACGGTGACTCTGGGCTTTGTTCAGTTGTGGCGTGTAGGGAGGGTGCTGTCTGGGACCAACGGATTGTCGGCGTGTTCGCAGTGACTCAGTTGTTCAGTCGTGTCTAGAAGTGGCACATTGCACTCGCTTTTTTGGTTCGTTCCTCCGTTCCGTTCCTCGTCGGTGTGGAGTGATGAGTGTGTCTGTGGGTGTGTTTCGTTGTGCGGTCGCTGTCTGCTCCGTGTGTGTTTGTGTGTTCTGTGGGTGGTGTGGCTTTGTAGTTTACTGAAGTCGTGCTGGGACACCCCAGTGGATTCGTGTATACGGCGCTCTGGATTGTGAGCTGCTCAGTCCTTTTTTGATGGAGCTGGAGGCTTAAGAGCGCCTCTAATAGCTCCGAAAATATGGTAATCCAAACAAAAAGTCAGTGGGTTCAGGGGTTATGAAAGTGTTTGTTAGGTCCTACTGCAATCATGCGGGGAACTGTTTACTCGCCATCCAGTTGTAGGTTGTAGTATTGCAGCAGAGTGATCCAGTAGAAAAAAATAAAAAATAAAAATCTGATTATTGGGCAGTAATTGAGGGGACCGGGAGTTGAATAAATCCACTTGGTTATCTTTGTTAGATCCACAGTGTTAATAGTTTCCATCCAAATAGTTGAGCAGGAGCGTGGTTAACACTGTAGGAGAGGAGCAGGAGTGCCTGAGTGTAAAGTGATGCTGGAACTTAAAGAAAGTTGTCCCGCCACATTAAGGTTGTAACCAGAAGTGGGCTTCTTGACGTGGGTTACACTGAGGTCGCTGGTGTTAGACTAGTGCATCTGCCACTAAAAACAGTCTTACCCACTCCACAAAACACCCGAAACTAATCTATTATTACACCAGACTGTCCATGTGAATGTCTGTGTTGACAGAATCATTTAGAAGTAAAACCAACCTTGCATTTGAAGGATTTCTGTCAGAGCATAAATCTGAGGCACGCTGGGACCACACTACCCACCACAGAGCCACACTAGTGTAACCAAGGTAAAATTCAGTCCGGTTATCCAGATCCAACCCAGGTTTTCCCCTACGCCACATGACTTGTCACCACCCATCACACCGCCCATTTCACCAGTAATCCAATCACATATCATCAGTCAAAGTATATAAGGTCCCCTGACTTGTCTCTCCTCAGTTGTGTGGGAGAGAATCAGGGGACAGAGCTTGAAGAACCAGACCTGATGTGGGACACTGTCATGTGTGTTGGGCATTTCAATTGCAACAGTAC